TTTTTGAGGCTACCTGTTTTTCTTATAAGTCATTTCACTAGTAAAAAAAATGAAATTCCATCCGTGCTAGGGTGGCAAAATTTAATCTCATTTAACCGTTCAGACATTGGTTAGAGGAGCAAGGAAATTTTTATAGCTAAATCTGCAATTCCTAGCTTACTGATTTGACCACATTGAAATTAGCAGTATGTGGCAAACAGCTGTTTTCCACATTTCACAAAAAACTTGAATTTTGTTTTTGGGCCATTCTATTTGGGTCTTACTGTCGTGTTTTGCTCCTTATGGTGTTTTTAGGAGGTTGGTTATTCGTAGGTGTTGCGTCCTCCACACATCCCGCTTATCTAAGGTTTTATTAACCTCGGACTAATGCGACATTCGTTGAAATCCCCAAATGACTATGACATGACTGTATTAGCCCTTTGCACTTTGATAACCCTGTTAGTTCAGTTGCTTAGCCCTTCTACTTTCATTCAAATTTCTTTGAACTGCGTATGTTCCTTCAAAATTTCCGAAAATTATGCGAGATCTTGTGTCACCTGATCTCGCTGTATTATTGGTTTCTTTAAAAGTTGATAATTATGTTGCTCTTGGAAGTCTTTCAAAAGCCTATTTCCAGCTGCATTACGCAATGTAATCAATCTGAATCAACCGATCACCAACACTATGGTTTCTGAACCTGTATGGAAAATACTTGTAATGGATAAGCTTGGCCAAGACGTAATTTCACCGCTGTTACCTGTCAAAGTGCTAAGGGAACTCGGAGTAACTTTGCACCTGTGAGCTTTTAAAACAGTTTTAACTGAGAAATATATGCTTAGATTCCTTTTTCAGATTAGTAGGATCAAAACGCGAAGCTCTTACGGATGTACCAGCCGTCTATTTTGTTTCTCCTACTGATGAGAATGTTGATCTACTTTGTGAAGATCTCAGAAGAGCTATGTACGATAGTTTTTACATCAATCTCATCTCGCCGCTTTCTCGTGCTCGCCTAGAAAACTTGGCCTCTGCTGCTGTTCAAGGAGGGACTGTGGGGCAAGTGCAGAAGGTATAGATAGAGATACTACTAATCTTCTCTTAATCTTT